CGCCCACCGGCTTCCGCCTCCGGCACATCCCCGGCCTCAGACACCACCCAGGCCAGCCTTTCCTCCACGCTGGCTGACAGTGCGGGGACGCTGCCAGGGCGGCCCACCTCCAGAGCCCTCACGCAGGGGCAGGCCACGGCCGAAGCAAGGACCACCTCATCTTCCACAGGGAGCCCCTCTCCTGACGCGGCCTCCGCCTCCGCGCCTACCCGTGCCACGACTGCTCCCGCCGAAGGCCAGAGTCCCGCCACGAACCAGGGCAGCAGCATGACCACTGAGCCCAACGCCAACACCTCCCTTTCCGTCCCTGCCACGTCTTTGGTGACCCCATCCATGACTAAGTTCCATATATCAACACGTGTGAATCCTGCTTTTACTGAAATTTGCTGTGAGTATTTTTATACGTAATTTTGAATTTATTTTTTTTTTAATAAATTGAGTATTATTAACTGTTATTATTTTTTTATTTATATGTTTTTTAATGATATATTTTTATTTTGTATTTCAGTCTAAGTAGATGAACCACTGCATCTACTTATCTCTTTTAAAAACTTAATCTTTACTCTTTATTTCTATTTTCAATTGCACACTTTATGGTTATGCTTTGTTGTGTGCCACAGTGTTAATATGTGGTATAGGCTATTTCCATCGGTAATGTTCTGTTAGTGGGAACCTTTATTATTGCTTTTCTTTACTTGACTTTTAAAATTCTCTTTTATTAACATAGTAGAGACTTTTCCGTCCTTAATTGAATTCCGTCAAATTTTTTTATGTTATCTCAGTTCTTATTTGTTTCAATAGTAATTCTCTTCTCTCATATCTTTAGTTTTTTCCAAGCTACTTCCTGATGACTTCAAAGAATATTGAGTAATGAACGTTTCATCATTTTTAATGCATAACAAAGTAAAGAAAAAACGGAAACTAGAAGAATGCAGCCTTTGTCTACTCTGCACCCAAAAATATTATTTGGGATAGGATTTCAATTTTTATGCATCATAGTTTCCTTCTAGCTTGAATTCAAATCTAAGGGGTTTATTCTACCTTGATTTAGAGTCCTGCGCTCTCTTGGAATTGAATAGGAGAGACGTAAAGTCATTATAAGTTATAACTTGGTCTTTCACACCCTTATAAAAACATTGCACAGACTTCAAATGTTACTTATGCAATCAGTTTTGCATTAATACTTTATTCCTTAAAGACACACAGACTATAACTATGTGTCTCACAGGAATTTCCTTTTTGTTTTTCAGTTCCTATCACTTTCTTCATACAGCTGGAGAAGGTGACCAGTACAATGATACAGTTCAGCTGGAAACCTCAAGGTGGCACAAGAGACAGTCCTTACAGAGTGCACCTGTGGGGAGGCTCTAGAGAGATTGAGAACAAAAGCCTAAATGAAACAAGTACGGCATTTGAAAATCTCCTTTCTGACACTGAATACCAAATATCCGTGGATGTTTCAACTTGCTCTAAGAACGTCAGTACCTCCTTGACAGTTCGGACAGGTATTTCCTTAGGAAACTTTTCTTTTTTCCATTAGCAGCCTAACACATAGATGGCCTACAGGTGAAGTCTTGGTCATTGAGCATCTACATGGATGTGGATAAGCTATATACTGAAATGAATAGCCAAAAGGAGGCCAAACTCAGAGACTTAAACCCAGCCTGCAAATTTTTCATGGGGCTAAGATCCAAAGCCTCCCTTGTCCTCCTGCCAAATTCAAAACTTTATTGAACTAAAACCACAGTAGTTCAACATGCCAGTCTCTCCTAGCTCCGTACTCTTTAATTCCCAAGTCTGACCTGCTCTTGCACCTTCACATGCAAGTTGTGCCCACCTTTGGGTTTCCAGTCACGTAGCAGCCAGCAGGTTTAAAGCCGTGGTTTTCCTGTAGCCACTTAGCCTAGGAAAGCTCAGAGTCCTGCACCTCTTACTGCTTGCTTACTTTGCAAATTCCAGCTTCTTCTTCAGTAGAAACAGCAGCTGCAGTATGGCAAATGCTTACAGCAGGATATAGCAGTGTAGTTAAAGTCACAAGTGAAATATCTATTCTATTATCTATTACTGGGAGTCTTGCGCTGCCCTCCCATGGGACAGCACCTGTGATTCTAGGAGCAACTGTGCCTGGTACATGAAGTGACATGTTGGAAGGAGCAGAGTCAATGCACTGCAGGTCAAGGGCAGGCCTCTACATGTTCAAAGCTGCCTTGCTGTAAAACACATAACCCAAGGGTGTGGTGGTCCTTCACCTTCACATCACGTAACAGCTTGTGCTCTTCCTTCAGACACGCATCAAGTAAAATGTGAGGAATACAATGGTCAGTGCATGGTGCAGAGCATTTGCAAGATATATTGTGGCCAACTGTGGTACAGGGAGTTAACCTGTCTGCATTCGCCTCTAGTCTGCTTTATCTTTAAATACATACATAGCTGAGGAACCATTTTTAAACAACACATACTTTGGCTGGTTATTCTGTCTTTAATATCTCCACAGCTGCTGAAGTCTTCAACGGAACCACAAGGATTACCAATGAAGTTTTCATACCTGAATATCAGAACAAATCAAGTGCAGCATTTAAGGACTTTGAAACTAAGTTCATTAAGGAGGTATTTTGCTTAGGAATTCTAACCCAAAATTTATTAATTTATTTTCTGTTGAGTTCTTTGTAACATAAATAATTATGAGGATCCAGGTATGAATAATCTTAAATGTGGGCAGGAAAGATTTTGTGATGGTTGGAAACAATACAGTACTTCCTAAGGTCTTACCTCTCATTTATGTTGTGGTCCTCTGAGGCCCTGGTTTAGAAATTCTGTCTGGGACTTATACATATTCCCCTACTATGAGAGATTTTTCTAAATGAATTGTGGCCACCGTATTGCTCTAACAACTCTTAATGTTAAAGGGGAAAACAGATATTAACTTACACCTTTTACCTTGTAGGTAAAAAAACATCTGCCCCAGAAGATCCTAGAATTAATAAAGGAGAAAAAAATGCGTATTGTGATTAATAGCATCAAGAATGGCAGTGTGATTGTGCTCTTTGACATTGTGTTGGATGTAGGAGAAAATATAACAAAAACAGAGATTTCAGATGCTTTTACAGAGGCCCTTAACATGAGTACAGTATTGAAAGCTGATCTTAAAAAGACTCTTATAGAAGGTATGCATTCATTCATCACTGTGAATTCAAGCAGTAGTGTGCATTTCACTGATGGTAACATCCAGTGAAACGGGATTTAGGTGGGGGAAGGCAATTGCAAATAGTATTCTGTTTATCTCTTTTTTCTAATGCTGACTGAAACCCTTGTTCTTTTTCTGTTTTGTTTAACTTCACTGTAGCAAGGAATAGTTGTCAGCCAGGATTAAGTGGCTGTTCCCAACATGCTACCTGCACTGCTGAAGGAGCTAGTTATTCCTGTCAATGCAACAAAGGATTCAAAGACAACAGCCCCCAGGTTCCAGGGAGAGTTTGTGAGCCCAACCAGAGCCTACCTTCACGTAACTGCTTTGTATATTGTTGTTGTTTTCTCTTTTTTTTTTTTTTTTAAAAAAAGCCTTAAAAATTTGCATATAAGGTCTTTTCTCTCCCCTGACCCTCCCTCAGTTTCATTATGATTACTTACACTGGCCTCTGACAGATTGTATTTTATATGAGAATGGGTACCACAGTCAACTATTTAGGAAAACAATGGAAATGTATTTTCTGGGCTTGTTCTTTGAAAGTTGTTTATGAAAATAAATAGCATAGACTTGGTGAAACTTTAAATTCTACTCATTGCCTCCAAATTGATTTTTTACAGAACAGATGACTACGGTCCCTTCAAAAAGTGCTACAGCTAGATTTACAAGATCCACAGCTAATTCTATTTTCACTGCCACATTTGCATCAGGACCTTGCAGTAAGTAAATATTTGATATTGCATACTAGAATAAGAATTATCCAAGATGAGTTATTAAAATTAGATAAAATATTCTTGTTCATCAGTCATATCAGCCGTGAAGTAAAATCTCTGGATATAATTTCAGAAAGCCTGAGACAACCACTGAAAATACATAATTATACAAATATCAATCAAGACAGTTTCTACACCTTGGTAAAGCCCTCCTGGACCCAGTAAGGTTCCACTGGGTGCCTGCCTCCAGTGATAAACCACTGTGATAGGTGACTTTTCTTAATGTTATTATGAAGTAGATTTATTAAATGCCTATCTGCTGCTCTGAACTTAGTGTTTCCTGGTCGTATTTTAGCAATCCATCCTCCTGATGATTTCAGTGTGAGTCAAATGGCAGTCCACCTCAGAACACTTATCAGAGCAGCTGCCTTGCCTGCAGTGAGAGAGACCAGAAGCAACTAGAACGTCACTCATTTGTGTTTTGGAGCCATCAAATGAAGTACATTAATGTATGATTTACATTGATAGAGCAAACAGTTTATATCTCCCCCTGTGGGAGAATGAGGTGAAAGGCTGAAATCATCCCCAAGAAAACTCATAAAAATTTATATTGGTTTAATTTGTATTTTTTTGCTTCAATAGTACATGTGTTGAATTGCAGGAGAGAAATGAACCGCCCTCAGCTGTATGAAATTTTTTCACTTTGCAGTGCCAGTGTCCATCAAAGTTCAGAATGCGACTGGAGAAGCAATACAATTCAGCTGGACCGGTGGCAGGAAAGGCAGCCTCTACACTGTCTCCCTCATGGAAGGAAACCGGGAGATAAATAAAACAACTACAAAAGAGACAAAAACTGTGTTTAAACATTTACTTCCTGGTCATGTATACACAGTATCTGTGGCAGTATTATCTTGTGCTGAGAATAGCTGGACTTCAGTTAGTGTCCGAACAGGTATTTCCTCAATCATCCTGTCATTTCTTTTCAATGGATGTACTCTCTTTTAATGAATATACTATGTTTTTACAATATGATTGGGATTTGATTTCATAGACTATTTTTCCCCTGAGTTGTCTTTATTTATCTGACTCATCCCCTTACTTGGATAGGACTACTTGGATTAGACAGGAGTTTGCAAGAGTAAGTGCTTATTCTCTAAAATTTCTGACCATGCTGTATTGTTGAACCAGATAATTCTGTACAAAAGTCAGGACATTTTGGTTGTAAATTTACCAGGAAATATTCTGGTAATGTGAAGTTTAGCTTGTACACACTTTTGGGAATGCTATTCCAAATGAAAAGCAGTTCCAGAATTGCAATGCTTTGATGTTCTGAAAACATTTATCAAATTGCCAGCCTAAAAGTATCCATGGCAAATCCATATTCATTTGCTTTTGTGTTAACATTGCCCTCTAGCTTAAACACTCCCCTTTCTTCCTTTTCTCATGTTGTGCTCTCTCTCCCTGATATAATTAGAAACTTCTCTACGGACAGTGCTCTCACCCTTTGTTTGCTAGACTAGACAAGCCATTCTTTTGTAGTTTCCATTCCTAAGAAGAATTCTTCTCTGCTTTGGAGGCCCCCATCACTCTTCTCTTTGTTTCTTTGAAATAAAAGTCACACTTCTTGAATGTGAGTAACCGGGATTACACACAGCCATCCAGTCAAGGTTGTACCAGTGTGTGTACCATATCATTAGTATTCCCATCTCTACTGGAAATGTATTTAACTATGCATCATAGGACAACACGCTTTTTTCATAGCTGCATCACAGCTGTGATTAGCTCAGGCACTGAAGTCCTTTTGTCTTCAATGCTTGTCCTGCCAGGTTAGAGAAGACATTTTTATTATTAATCCCCAAATGCACAACTTTCAGGGAACATCATCCCAGTGCAACTGCTCCAGCCTTACCTTCATCCAATTCTTTCTGGAAGATGTCTCAATTCTCCCCTGTGTTAACAACATCTACTAACTTTGCGCCATCAACAAATTTTATGAGCAAACTCCTTCATTTTCTGGCAAGATCTGCAATGGAAATGTTGAACATGGTCTACACCCAGACTGATTCTCAAGGAACACCACATGTAATATCCCTCTAAAGCAAGGTTTCTTCTTTTAAAGCTACCCATTGCCATCTCCCCATCAGCCAATTCCTTTAGACAAATCTTTTCCACTAAAAATTTATCACTTGGCACTGTGTAATGTTGCTTTTCTATCATCAGAAGAGATCTGAAAGTCAACTTGTCAAAGGAAGCTACAAGGTTTTTTTTGGCATGATTCACTTGTGATAAAACTCTATTGCACTTTATCATAATTTCTCAGTGGCTGAGAAAATTTTCATGATTACTTTTAACATCCGTTGAAAGATCTAACCTGACTTTTGGCAATTGTTACTTTCTTCCAGCTTTTCTTGACCTCTAAAAAATAACTGTCTTTGTTGCAACCCTCCTTCCAGTTCTCTAGTGGATTGTCTGATTATTCTCAAAACCTTTCCAGGGCAATTATTCTAGCAGCAAAATGTGGGATTCCTTCTTATGGACTTACCATCTATCTAAGGCTTTACGACCGCAGAGCCAAGGAATTCTCATCATAATTTCCATTCAAATCTTTCAATACTTCAGTCCACTGTTTTTCATCTATTAGTTTCCCTATTTTCAAAAGAAAAGAAATTTTGTTTCCTTTTGTAACCTGAAGCCATCTGCCTTACCATAAAAGTGTTTGTGAGGTAATTTAAAAGAGCAATAAAGTCCAAGTCATCTGGATTTTATGTGGAGTTAAAGATTATGTTCAATTCTGTGAAGAGAACTAGAGCTATATCCAATGAACTAATCATATAAAAACTGCAGTACCAACCTTTACTGCTGTTTTGACCCATTATAAATAATTCAGATTTGCCAGCCCAGACAAGCGTGCTGAGGTTTTGAGATTCCATGGCGCATATTGTTTTCAAATGAAAGTGCAGGTGACTTTTACTTCTGAAAACTCTTATCTAGTTTGCCTGAGTTGTACAAGCATGTAACGGCACAGCCTATACCTTTAACTCTCATGAGTTCTCAACATTATTTCAGTAAAGTTCTCAAATACCACCTACCCACCCACCACCTGCCTCTCATTTGATACACTCCATTTTTATAATCTACAGTTCTAAGTTCTCACTGGGCAAAAGAACTGCTGCTTAGGTGATTCCTTGGCCAGGATTAAATGCTTTCACCTATTTCATTATTTTCTTAGTAGCAACAATCATGCATGCACAGGGTCAATTATCTTGATTTTTTTTTTATTTTACAGATCCTGTTTCCTGCTTCAACAGAACTGAATTTTGCTTACCACAAAACACTGGCTGTCCTGACTTAAAATACATTGTATGCTCAAGTAAGTTTTATAGAACTTTAAAATTTGTTTATTCATATGGATGGGGTATTATTTCACAATATAGTATCTTTCATGAGTATTTTGCCATCTGCTTTATTATGTCAATTGACATATCATCTGAAGCTCACACTTCTTTGGTAAGAAAGTTGCCTTCATCAAACTTCAGTGTCAGCTTCCAGCTCTATTTTTAGTCTGGAGTTTTCTATGTAAAGCATACTTCTTTTGGCTTAGGGCTCATCCGCCTACTCAGGAGGATTTAAACACACTCAGTGCCTTGCAAAATCTGATAGACTGATCTTGCTTCTGAAATCAATGGGAGAGTGGCTGTTGAATTAGGGAGCAGGATGCACTATAGGAATGACTAACAAATTGTAAGGATTGTGATGGCTGACAAATTTGAAGAGGAGGAGATTCAACTCAAGGTTCAGAAGCTAGTGCACTGGCTTATTATTTGGTTAGTTTCTGGTTTTATCAATTAGTGTTATAAATACATAAATAACAAAGTCCAAAAAGCAACCATGGAGTGACATCCTGGGATTGACCTAACTTTTTTACTTTTTTTTGCAGATTACCAAGCATTTGCCTGCAGAGTTTTGTTAAAAAGCCAGACATTCAACCATATGCTTTATAACTCTGATAGTGAAGGATACAAAACAATGTCTAAAAGTATCAAAACAGAAGTAAGTGGCTGCAATCTTCTTTGTCATCGTGAATGAACTTAGAAAAGTTCTGCAATTAGCAACATCAGTCTCCTAGATTCATTGTAAAATGAAGATTGTGAAAGGAGAAAATGATAATCCTCCTTTGATAAAACACTATAGGAAGCACAAGAAACGTCTTGGCTGAAGGACAGAAAGCATGTTGTCCAATGAGAAGGGGTATCTTCCCTAACTTGTCCTAAAATGTAAGATATTTAGTAAAAGGCAGTTTAAAATTCTCTTTTTATAAGCACAGTAGTGGTTGCAGAACTGGAGAAAGTATCAAGGGGTTCATATCAGGGAGGAACTGAGGAGAGAAAGCAGAAGCTTAGAGACAGTGAGTGAGCCTAGTAAAGCTGACATGCAGAAGCAGCAGCCTGCTGCTCAGCTGTCTTTAGCAGGTTGTTTAAAAAAAGAGTAATAATTTATACACCTCTCAGGAATCCTGATATATATAAGCCCATTGGAAATAGAAAACTACTGTAAGATTGGGGTAGACCACTTTTAAATAGCTAACATAGAAAATTATTTTTAGTGTGATTATCATACCTTTTAGCTAAGAAGTTCCACAGATTTCATAAGCAGTAATTAATTTGTGCTCACAACACCAACGCAGAGGTAACCTTGTCTTATGACTGCTAGCATCTTCATTTCATGGGTAGAAAATTTACTTGAGTGAATTTAAAAGGCTTCCTCCAACCTGACTGAGTGCAACAGGAATCCCTTTACTGTCTTTCAACAAGCTTTCACTCAGGCCTTCTGCGATATTGCACCCTGACTGTTATCATATTTTTCTTTTAAAAATGGCAAAACCAAAAAGAGGCTGTACAAACATGACTGAAAATGTAGTCAATATCTGTGTTGGATTTTTTTTTACAATTTGAATATTGAACTATTTCTTTTAAATCCCACCGTACTACCACACTGTAGTTGTAGGTTTGAAATTTTACACTTCTGCCTGCATAGGCCAGGTTTCTTATCTAGACCACTCATCATGGTGAGGACGAGAAAAGCACGTTTGGAGTCTCTGGCCAGAGAACTTAATGCGACATGTAGTTTGGGGTGGGGATTTGTCCCATAGAGAAAGATGGAAATAGGCAACTGAGCAGTGATTCAGAACAAGGTTCGTTATCATCTACGAAAAATAGTAACCTTTCAGACTTTTGAGGTCAAATATCATATTTATCACAGCAAGAAGATACCTTTGTCTTAGTGGGTCGAATCAAACACCTAATTTTCTGTAAAGATTAGTCCCAACAGAAATGTTTCAACCAGTCTTATTTAGAAAGGAGGACTGCTTGTTCTTGCCCTATATCCACATGAAAGCACTGGGCAAAACTGTACTTTTGGAGACATCAGTGTAAACCTGGAATCATTCCAATTGGTGTAATGGGATAACACTTAATTTACACCAGAATGATTCAGAGACAAATCAGATTCTTGTCTCTTTGCATAGTTATTCTCTAACATTGTGATTTTGATAATCTGGTGACAAAAACACTTTATCTGTTCTAAACCTCTAATGTCAAGTTCTGCGCTGGTAGTGTGTGCATAACCATGCTTGAAGTTTAGTGGTACATGTTAAAAAAGCTAGGGGACACTGAAGATAACTTTAGAAATGTTAAGTGCACTTTGTAGATTCCAAATTTTGTACAGTCGGGGTCCCATATGGATTTAGAGCCCATGGATGAGGATAACTAGTTTCAATGCATTATTCATTGATAACTAGCTAAATAGGTTACTGCTTTGGAAGTCAAACTTTGATTTCATATTTTTAGTCACAGATCATGCTTTGTTCTGGGATCCTCCTTCAGTAAGTTTTTTAGTGGTATAGAAAAAAATTACTGTCTTTATTCATTTATTTGTTATTCCAAAACAATTACCTTGAAAGAATTAGTGCAGAAAATTAATATCCTGATGTGTGCATGCTGATGTGTGTATGCTGTGTGCATTCC